CTGAAGACGGCTTGAATGGGTAATGAAGAAAAACTTTAAAATATGTTTAATATAACAGCAAATGTACAACGTTTTGACAAGGTTTTGTCATCATCAGGTACAAGTAATTATCCATGTCAGTGTAAATTACTTGTACAACGTTTCGACATTTGCTGTTATATTAAACTTATATTAAAGTTTTTCTTCATTACCCATTCAAGCCGTCTTCAGCCATTATTAGTCTCAAAGTGGGTTCCTCGTCACCAAACTTCTTGGGAGTTGCATCTCTTCAACCCCCTCCAATAACACTTCAGGTGATAAAATGAACCCCTAGAGGAGAATGGCAATTACTTTTTACTCCTTACTTAAACAACCCAGTGGACAGCATGAACAGATGCTATGTGTCTTGCACAGTTGCCAAGGGTAGCCATACTCCATACTGATTATCTGTAGACCTTTTGGGTTATTTTTTGTATGTTTTTGTTGTGCTCTTTATTTTATAGTTGTTCCATTTATACTAAAGATTAAACATGTATTTTGTGTGTTTTTTTTATTGATTTTGTGTATCTAAACAACACATATTCTCAACTATCATATTACTCTTTGGATTCATACTACATGAAAAACTTAAAACTATCTTGTTGCTCCAATTTTGAAAACTAATGTATATTATGCCATAAATAAAAGATTTTTTTTTATGTCATAACTGATAGAATGTTTATAGCATGGTGATCACTTGTGAAATCTGTAAGGGTTTCTTAATTTAAATCATCTTAGAAACATAACTGTCTTTTTTAACTCAAACAATAAGGACAAAATAGTTTTTAAAATAATTTGAGTTATAACTATATTTTGTTTTGATTGAAATCATCAAATAGAATAAAAGTTCAAAAGTGGCAGACTCACTTTCATTACCCTATAAAAACCCACTGTAGATGGTTTACACAGTTAACAAATTTATATTATGTAAAACTATAATGAACTAATATTTTTATTGTTACAAAAATAAGACTCTACACTTATATTTATAAAATATATGATAACTAATTTTTGATTTAAAATGTGTACTTAATACTGTTAATAAACAACCAATTCACTTTCAAAAAAAAAATGTTTATAAATAAAAAAAACAAGCATCTTTATTAAAAATGTTACTCTAAAGGTCTTACCAATAGTGAGAAGGCAATATCTGAAAAACGCTCAAGCCCAGGAATATCTTTTGACAATAAGCACATCTGGGTTAGTAGCTGAACATGCTAAAGGTAAAATATGAAAGTTATTAGAAAAAAAAAGTTACTTGTACCATAAATTCTTCATTAAAAACTGTTCAACCATTCTTATATAATAATAAAAGTTTGTGTTGAACATATCTGTGACCTTAATTAAAAGACTATATATTAGATGTATTTTTCTGCAGCGTCATCAACAGAAGAGAATAATATATCCTTAATCACATTCTCTAGACTCTATAATACAATTTTAAAAATGCAGGATTCATTTATAACACATGTTCATTTAGTTAACATATATGCTAAGCTAATATAAATACTCTTCCTGAATGGCCTTTTATGTTAGTGGATAGTTACTTTGTGATTCCAACTTATTTTGCATAAGAAGTAAATTTGTATACAATGTTTAATAACTTACTATTGGTAACCAAATCTTTAAAGAAAAAATCTCAAGTTTCAAAAAATGTTTCTATACCATGTATTTTTGAATATATTATATATATATTTTTTTTACAGAAACAGAACACTATTCTATGTACAGTAAAAAAATAATATTTTTTTGCAACAACAAAGTGCAATAAGTGAAAAAGCAGCATTCTCTGTGAAATGCATGGATTATATAATTAATCACACTGGCATAATTTCAAAACAATAAATCATTTGTTCACCTAATAAAATGTAATTATTCACAATATTTAAAGCCTCATTAAAGCATGAATCCTAGCCCAATGAAACAACTGAACAACAAAATCTTAAATTTGCACTTCTGTGACATACTTTGATTAATATCTAGACTATAGAAAAAAAAAACACTTATTCAGCCAGAAAAAAGAATATGAAAATGGCCATTAAAAGAAATTCTAAGTGACTGTGCATTACAGAACAAGGCATTAATAAATCCTTAATCATTTACAGTTCCTAAGTATACTTCAACTTTTCCCAATTTCAGTGTAATAACAAATGATAAAGCCTCACATCATTTTTATCCAAATACTGTGTTTTCATCAGAGCTAAAAACTCTTTTGGAATATAACAAAAACCAAAAAGTATTTATTTTACATATTTCAGTTTGCCAATAGAGCAACATGTTAACTCAATTGGCTAGTGAGCATATCATGACACATCACCATGGCAACAAAACAAATATTCATTCATACTGTTACTGAAACCACTCTCTTATTGTTGTGCAAATTAATTATATTGTGCATCTCATGGTTTTCCCACACAATTGCATTTCATCATTTTTAAATGTTTTCTCAGTATGCTGCCCCAGTTCCATATTACAAACAACTGGAAATCTTGTGGGTCAATGAAAAATCTTCATATTTTAAATAGTGTGTTCAGACTAAGTTTTCTTGTACAATAACACATATACACATTTAAAACAATAATTGTTCTGATTAATTTTATCTGTTGTTCAAGGGTGCTATCACGTGTATCAGTATCACAAGGTATGGTGTTTAGAAGCAAAATCATCAATCAGTTTTTGGGAAAATTTTATTCATCTTAGGTCTGAAAAACTTGTAAGAACACAAGTTGACAAAGTAATATTAATAACATACATCACAATAATGTATCTAGAGTCCTAACTGTCCCTAAAATATTTACTAAAATGTAAAATCAGAAATCTTTTTTAGGTTAGTTAAGATTAGGTAAGGTAAAATAATTAATAATAACGTAATAAAAATGTTTCACAAGCAGCACATAGATAATGTAATTCGTTAGTGTAACATGAGCTGCACGTTCCACGAGCGAGTTACAAATTGTAATGGTGCCGATTGTAGTTAGACATGGTTCAAAGGGTAACAAAACAATAAAATTTAATCATAAGTGGATGTATACTGTTACGAACTTAGAACTACTTAGGATAAACAAATGTAGTTTCATGTTACAATTTGAAATCATTCTAGAAAGAAAAAAAGGTAATTTAGATTGATTTTGATTTTTTTTTGGTGGTTACAAGGTTGGTCAAATTGATCTATTCCATTTTGAGATAGGGTAGAGAAAATAACAGATAAACTATAAAGTTTTACTGGAAAAAAAACGTTTGAAATGTATTTAGGAGGTTTTAGGGATCACAGAAAGAAAATTTGAGATTTTTGAGAAGAGGAAAAGTATTTTTATCCTTAACATGAAAATTACTTTGCCCACAGACTATTCAAACCAAATAATCAATATATTCATGGATAAATCATTATTTTAGTTTATTAAAAATGCTTCACTAAAAAATATGTTTTTTGTATGTGAAAGACTTATAATGTTAACTGAAAGACTGCCAAATTTTGTGAAGATATACACACTATATTGAAAGTTAGAAGTATTAAATCTATAAAGACTTTAAATAAGTACAGAGAGGTCACATGGTCGGTCAAATCAACTGACCCTGTGTTGAGAGAGTTAATGGTAAATATTTGACTATTTAATGCATGAGAGCACTCATTCTGTTATACTATCACCATTTGGATATGCACCCCCCTCTCTTTTTGTTAACAAATTTCTGGCAAAAACTTATGTAGCACTTTAGCAGAAACATAGTTAATTATTTTTGAAGTGTTTATGCTGAAGATAGGAATACAAAAATTTCAAAATGTCCATGTTTTTATCTTATGAACAATTTTATGATATGACATTTGAGTCAACTCAGTCTTGAGTTTATTTGATGCTAACAGTGTCATTCCAGCAAAAGTGATACATGTTTACTTGCAGATAGAGGTGTATAGTTCAGTGCTGCATAGTCAGCATACTTCACATTTTACAATTCACATTTACTAGAGATTGTTTTTACACAAATGAGTTAAATACAATGGTATGGCTTGTTGTCAATAAAAACAGGGGGTTTAGGAGTGATGAGGTTAGACTTTCAAGGACATTCCCACGACCTCTTGATAAAAACTATTTATTTTCCAAGATTTCCAGCATTGAAAATTTTTGTACAAAACTCCATGACTTTTCAAAATTTTCATGGACTGTGCAAGCCCTGGAAAAATAAATGAAATACCCAACAAAATATAATTGGTGGCTCAGTATGTATGTTTGAATGTGGCAGTATACTGAACTTTATTACATATTACTAAAGATACCATTGTCCAGCGAAGAATACAACTTTTGTGCATATAAAGTGTAAATTTGCTATCAATTTCAAAATATTTTTTTTTAATTGTAAAATACACAAAACTTACCTCAGACAGGCCCCTGATAATTGCCACTAATATCAGATTTGTGACGTCAGTAATGGCATTTTTATGCTAACTACACATTTCTGTCTGCCTTGTATGTTGAGCTTTTACAGCTCAATATGTATTATTTGTCAACTACGTTACACTTCTAACTAAATGTGAATATTAACATGTTATTATGCACAAAAAATATCTTCAGTGATTATAATGCATACATGATAAATAAGATAATGTTTCTGTACATAATAAAATTGCACCAGCATCTTAACTGATCCCTGCTTGTACAGGAAACATTCACAACTTCACTGGGAAACAACAGTATAGCAAAGGTATAATGTCCCTTAAAAACAATATTATAAAAAATGTGTCACTATGAGAAAAAACAAAAACAAACTTGGTTCCACATTGACAAGAATAAAAATATAACAATTGGCAAAACTGTTCTTCCTGCAACAATTTAATTAAAAAAGAACTGTCATTAAACATGCTTAAAAATATTCTTATGATTTAAGATAAATAAAAATATATACACACACACGACTACCAGAAGAATCAAACAATAGCAAGATAAAAATGAATTAAACTGAAGTAAACCTATCCTACTTACTTTATCAGCAAAACAGCATGATAATGATTATAGAGTGATGACGTAGTCTGTTCAGCATGTTGCATTTCTTTTCATATTTTGATCATTATTTAAGAAAGTGCAAACAATCATCAAAATGTCAGTCAAAAAACAGCTACTCAGGTTTTACAGTCACACAATACATCAATAAGAACAAAATACAGACAAATGTAGACATACTCATGGCATCCATTGCTAGAAAAGTTGGATCCAGCAGAATAGAAGAACATGATTGTCTGAGGTAAGAAAAGACATCAATCATTGCATTACAATTGATTTGCATAGCTACTAAAAAAACAAAGGGTAAGGGCCCATTCTTTGGGAAGAAACTAATGATTTTGAGAAGGAGGATCTGCCAAAAATGTTCATTCGACTAGGAACGTTACGCACTCAAAAGTGAACAAGCTGAAAATGAAGCCAAAAAAGTAAAGAAACTGCTGCAAAGCAAAGAGTGCTAGAAAAAATACCACCCTGACTACTGATACAAGTCACTAATAAGGAATTGTCTGTGTGTGAACTAACACAAAATGATGTTGTAGAAGTGATAGAAACTTGAGACAAGCATTCATAACAGCCCAAATGTATCACATGTTGATAAGAGCTGATGCTTCCTGATGAGTCAAAGACCCAGAACAAAGTCAATTCCCCAAAATAATGCTTCAACCCAATAGAGATATTTGTAAAAAAGTTAATGTCTACAGGATGAAGAAAAAAAGAGATCCTGCTGTTGTCAACTTCAAGCCAGCTAAGCCTTGATGATTCAGCAGTGATAGAAGAAACAGTTATGTTGTGTTTAATGGGTCTCTGAAATCAGTTGCCACTAATAAACAAATTCTTACTGGTGGCACAGTGAACATGCCCCAAAGGAATGACTTTGTGAATAGAGACCAACAACTTCAATGTAAAAGGATGTCTTTAGTAGTAGACATAAGAGCACATACGTAAGTCTTCAAGGCTTGCAACACCACATAAGACAGCTGATGTGTACCTTGAACTGTTCTGATCACAAACCCCAGATATACCAAATAATGTGTTGGTACTAAACGGAATTTTGAGTTGTAGATAATTTACCCAAGAGATGTGCCAGCTGGGTGAACAACTGAGTGTTCTAAGAGACTCAGTGACAAAAAGGATCAAAATAAGCCATCATCCTCATAAAAGTAAAGGTTGATGTTGAGTGAAAGAAGAAAACCAGCAAAAACTTTTGACTATTCAACAGAAGACATATTAAGTCAAAGCCTAGCCAAAGGGAGGGCCAGTGGTCTGATAACAACTAACTGCTGGTCAAACTAGAAAGTTCTACGCATATAGATATTTGCATCCAGAATTCTTAATTACAAATAATTCAAAGACATTAAACTCTCACACAAGTAAGTAATTTAAAGACATACTTGTACACCTGAACTATTGATAATTTATAGTTTCATTTTGAGTTTACTTAGTGATTAATTATTATTTTATTACAAATTACAGATTTTACAGTAAGGAAGATTATTTTTTAGAACAGGTATGACGTTTCAATCACTAGTGCGATCAATCTCAAGTACTCAAGTTTTAATGGTAAAGAAGGTTTTAGTATTTAAATTAACATTCAACAATCTAGCAACGTATTTAAATTTTAGAATTAATAGTGGTTACTTATGCATGTGCATATCAATCTGCATAAATTGACATACTACTTTTATGTGGCTGAACAGAAAAAATAAACAAAAAGTAAATAAATGTAAAAAAAAATGTGAAATATGCAAATATTTTGCATAAATTATTTAACATGAAAGTTCCATGAAGAATAAAACAAAAGTATGCAGAAAATATTCCCCTGTTGCCAACATTTGTCTAATTGACAGCTTGGTAATAGCAGGATAAAAACAGTTAGGAAAAATGTTTTTCAATGATTACATCAAAACAGTTTTGGAGCCTAACCACAGCATTGACAGTCTATGTCATCACATCCAGTCACACACTCTCTGACAACCCTTTTTCTTGGCAATAGCCCTGCAGTGTAGTTTCCACTGCAAAGATAATCATATTAAGACTGTCATGTCCTAAACACACTACTCCTCCCTGCTTTTTAACCATAATCCATCTAGTGTACAAGGAAGGCAGTTTCCCAGTGCCAGTTTCAACAGTCTGATTGCACAGAAGTCCTTAGGTGCTACATCCAAAGACTTGACTAGCTTCAGATAGAATAGCATGAATACCCATTTTTATACTTCAGCTGCTTGAGGTTATCTAACAACTGAACAGAAGGTATGACTGGGAGCCTTACTTTGTGAACCCATATAGAGATTCTTCTTGATTATTTTGTGTATTGTAGTCTAAGGCAAATGGACAGGTTTGCCATTAACTTTTGTGTTTGTAGATTCTCATCTTTTACAAGAAGGTGACACACTTTGCTTACCATGAGGAACAACCTGTTGCAGGTTTATTTCTGGATAATCATAGTGCCCAAATGATCTCTATATCTTTGTTTTCTAATGCCATTAAGTACAAGGGCTTTCCCTTAAAAATTCTAGATGCCCAATCTGAGTGTCTGGATATTTTGTGTCAGAAAGGACTGTTACATACCATTCCTAAAAGTGATCAATATTTAATGGCATCACACTACCTAGGAAATATCAAACAATTTCATTCTGATACATTCCACTGCAATTTTATATCGGTTATGGCAGTCATGCTACTTACTGATTTCCATATTCAAAATAATTTTAATATAATGCAAAACATAATTTGAACACATTTTTGATATAATAAATAAATGGAATAACAAAACCAAATCAAACTTTGAATTATGTAAAGAGTTATGTTCTCCCAATTCTTTGGTTAATATTAAATCCAACCTAGAAATTAAAACAATTTCCTTCACAAAATAATTAATTCTGATAGATATTTTTTATTTCATTATAGTTATAGTTACATTTTTGACTTGAAAGGAAGATATCAGATTTTTTTAACTGAATGAAATTATCTCAACTACTAAAATATAAAAACACAAGAGTTTGCATTGAGTAACAAAACCACAGCATGTACAGCTGAGAACAACAGTCATAAGCAATGTCAGTTCCCATCAGTCCAGATAGGACAATAATACACATTATTTACATCCACCATGAATTCTTCACTGTAACTGACTGAGAGTACATTACAATGTATGATAAATTGTTGCCTTAAAAAGTCAGTCAATAAATCGCATCAATGTTGCCCAGTTTTCAAGATCAGAGCAGAACTTTGCAGCACAGTGAAAACACGCTACTTCATTTAGGCCTAATTACAAACAATTTGCTCAAACTGTAAAATAAATGTGGACATTTATTATTGTATAAAGTTTTCAGTTACTCATGAATCAAGAGCTGTAGAGTTTCACTGCAAAAAAGTATAGTAAGAGTACTAAAAACATACTCAAAGGCACTGTGAAAGTAGTTGAGGAATATTGCACTGTACAAAATGTGACTGCAGATGATGATGTCAGAAATCTTTCCAGCATTCTAGACAAGTTTTATGTTGAAGTTAGACAGGTGAATACTATATATGTTTATTGTACTTTGTAAACACATGAAGGAAAAATCCTTTTTGCAACCTGATATTCAGTGATAAATTTATTGAATTAGTGTGACCCAATCCTCAACTAATTTATTTATTTCTTATATATAACAATCCTCTACAAAATGGACCAATGCCCTTCATAACCAGGTTACCAGTGGTAACATGTATTGATGAATAAGCTTACAAGTTAAAATGGCATATATTGAGGCATTAAAATATTGTTTAATTACACTAATTATAATAATAATAATACAGATAAATCTTATTGATTTATTATTAATTCTTAAAAAGAGATCAAAATCTTAAATGAAGTATTAAACTCTAATTACTACATGTAGGTCTGAGGATGTAGGCTAAACTTACTTTATTACAGCTCTAATTAACCATATTTTGGCAAAACTGAAAACATAAGAGAGCAGGTAGAATAAACAATTAATGAATGGTAATTTCAGGCAACAGATCACTCATCACTCTCATAACCAGTCAATAATTTTTTACTGTTACCCAAAGCCATAGAAAGAATTAGATGACAATCCGTATCCTTGATCTATGTGGGTGGTTGACATCTAAGTGATCTGAACATACTAAAAATTAGTCATCAGCTAGTCATGGTATGTTTTGTCATTTAACAACAATTTATATATTATCTTCATATCAGAATGTACTCCATTGAGAGCAGAAAAAATCCAAATGCAAATTTACTTGGAAAGGAGATTAGCCTCAAAATTTCATTTTGAATTAGAGTATAATGACTGTACTGAAGTAAGTCAGTAGAGAAAGAGAGTACATGAAGACTATTTTATCAACTATTCAATATAACTTACAATATGTGTAGAGTAATATGTTATTAAATATAAATAAACTAAATATGAATTGGTTAACAAGAAGTAATGTTTTGATAACACTGAATAAAAATATATTAAATTACAACACAATTAAAGGAATGCTGAGAAAATAATTAACCTTTTAAAGAATGCAACCAGATAGCAATGGAATGCAAGAAAATAGTAATTGTTTATCAGAAAGCTAGACTTTCTGCAATTAGACAATATTTAATCCAGCAAACTGCCAGGATGTTTAAAATAAGTGAAATATGAAGTCAAAAAAGTATCTGAAATGGAGTATTACATATCCTGAGAAGAATTTGTCAGAAAAGAAACCAGTGGACATTTGAAATAAATAATAGCTCTTCGAGGTATAATGCTGATGCCAGCAAAGCACATGCAAGATCAAGGGTTATCTGTGACTGGATGATCCTCAGACCTTTAGCTAAATGCCCGGAGATGAATAGAAAATTCTTAAAGATAACAGATCCTGAATTATTTCACACTCATTTCAAAATCACGTGTACTAGTCCTAGTTCTGGAACCTATTAAAACAGTCTATATAAAAGTTGGCTTGAAATTATCACAAGTTAGTATTCTTCTAGCAAGTTTCACTAAGAGTTTGTTCTCAGAAATCTGTACTCCAGCCTTACAGCATTATCAACTAATATCTCGATACATAGGGTTTGTAAATGAGAAAATGTATATTGAAACCAGAAGTAATTTGATCAAACTACTAATAAACATACTTGTAAAACTATTTGGCATACTGGAGAGTTTTCCTAAAAGCAATGGATTTGTTTGTAATTATCTAATGACACACTGTTACTATATATTGTCAAGGTAGTAATAAAACTGTGCATTTTGTTCTATTTGAAATTTCTGGCCGAGTGCTTAATCTTTATGTAAATTCCTTGTGTTGGTAATCAGTATGCTCACTACTGGATATTCTGGTATTTAAACTAATATTATTGTCTTTCACCAAACATACCCATTACAGTATCTAAAACCTATATCAAAATAATTCTTGTCATAATCCATACCAAACAGGTCAAGGTTAATCTTCAAATTATCCATAAATTATATTTTTGAAGTTTCTTAGAAGTAATACAATGATATTTCTCTAAATGTAAAGTTGAATAGTCCAGTAACCCAAAAACTTTTGTTGGTTGTTAACTGCTACTACATACAATCCTGTTTCACTAAAGGTTATTGTTATTGTAATGAAGTGCTTTTACCTCTAAAAATTCTTTAAATATGGACTTATACAGAAGGAAAATATATAGTGCTTAATGTTTAAACATGTAATTGTTTTCTTGGAGTTCCATTCTAGGTCAAAATATTTGTTACATTAAGAGAACAAATCTGTGATATGTTTTGTATACAGCTTAATACACATTGTGATATTAAGGCATAACAAATGATTACTAAACCTTTCACTATCTCTATATTATCCACCTTTTTATTACCATTCTCATCTGTTGATCTAGCAGAGACCTCATCTGATCAGTCATGTGAATATTAGTAAGCAACCTTCTGCCATCTACATCTGAAGAGGTACCAGTGTCTGATGGTGTTGAAGCAAGAGCTGGACTAGATAGTGGAAGCCTAAGAACATAATGTCAGAAAGCTATCAAAGTGCACTACAAGATGAGGATTAAGAAGTTTAATTCTTTTGTTTTATTTCCTTTGTAAAGGTAAATAAACCACAGACAAAAAAAATTCAATTTAAACTAACAGAAAAACTCGCACAAAATAATAAATCAAGCAATAAAAGAATACCTATGTATACTGTGTATGTGTCTCATACAAACAACCTTAATGAGACTTTCAATAAAATTATAAAAATATACGTCTAATCCCAAATAAATATATGATTTTTATCATTTTATATTAAAACTACATGAACCTACATGTTTTTCTGACATCATGAATATGTATTATACACACAAACACTTGCTTCAGTTGGCAGTTGTAAGGTTTAATTGAAGAAAAGTGTCATAGACAAGAATAAATATGAATACAAAGTTCTAAAATGATGAGAAACTCAGTAGTTTTAACTTCAAAATACACACAACAGTCAAATGTTTATAAAACTGGAGGTGGGTAGGTAGGGGGTATTATTTCTATGAACTGAAAAAACATGACCTCTGAGGCTAATAGAATAAGAAAATATAAAAATAATTAAAATCACTATAGTGTGTTACGTATTAGAATTTCGAATGGTCTGAAATTGAGTTAAATGGTACTTTAAATTTAATAGTTAAATTATACTTTGGATTTAGTAGTTAAGTAAAAGCTGATATATAGTCAGTTTATGATATTTCCCAACAAAATTAATACACACGATTTTCTTTTTTAACACAAATACATTTTAATATACACACAACAATACAATTTATAATAACAATTATTACAAGTAGTTATTACAAACAATGATTTATAAACAAAAGTTTCACAAACTTACAACCAATATAAAGTCTTCTTTCTAGTCTAGAACTTCCATGATATCTTATCAAGGGTTCACGATGAGCGAGTTAATTATGAGTTGATGTAGGTACAATTTGCTTAACAGGTTCATAAAATTCAGTGTTTTGTTTTTTAAGTGGTAAGATTCTAAATAATTTACACTTAGCTAATATGTATGGTAAAAGATCTAAATTTATTAGTATTGGGAAGTTTTAACAGGGGAAGTATTTTTACTTCTTTGATTCTTCTATCTCGTGGACATAACAGTACATTTTGATGCAAGTCTCCTGAAAAGACCTTTATTTCAAGTTTTTTCTCAAATAATAAATGAAAGCTGCTACAACTTAATAAAATTCAAACTTACTTAAATAGACAAAATTATTTAATGGACTAACCAATTCAGTGTATCTTTTATGTATCTCTTGTAACGAATTTATCATTATGTAGTTATTTTAATATCAACATTTGTTTAGATTAAGTTTATATTTAAAAACATGCTTAGTTTATCGTGTTAGATATGTATTGTGAAACTCCGACCTGTTAGTCAATGACGTATATACATTCTTAAAATAAGCCACAAAAAAATTAGCTGAATAGACTTCCCTTACAAATTCTAATTTAACTCTTAAGAACCTTTTTCAATATACTTTCTTCCCTTAGAAATGTTCATCTGACTCTTAGGAACTTTTGTAATATACCTTTTAAAGTTCTGTCCATATTACTTCCATTAACCATATTTTTCTTTGTGAGAACATTTATCATAACCTATAAATTTTAGCCAATTTAATATTTCTCATTATTATATACAAGTGAGATAAAAATATGACTTTAATTTAAATGTGACTATAATAGGTAAGATTCAAGAGTTTCACAAATAACACATTTTTTGTTACACACCTTACATTGACGCAGACTCATACTCACTGTATCTATAATAAACTTATTACTAAAAAGTATATTTCACAATTGCAGTACATTTACTGAGCATGACACAAGATTTGTGTCTTACATTCAAAATTTTATTAAAATGCTTAGTGCAACATCTTTATTGTTTTCCTGTTCTAACATCCATCTTTAATATTAATCATCACAACATCAGCACTGAAAGTCTCAAAATCCATGGCACCCAAACCACCACCACTGAAACAAATTTTTCATTGTTTTTGGATTTTCTAAAATCTTAGAAAATAATCATTAGAAAAGCTAAAAAACAACTCAAAATATAAATGGAGTGGTATAGATGATCAAAATCACCCAGGGAAGGAGTTGGATTGGAGGTACTGGTTGGTCCAATCCTGGCAGAAAGAGGTAACTTCGTATTGAGGAAAGTAGCAAATACATCCAAATGAGGAGTACCTCACTGATTTCATGCCCACTGGAAAACCTGAGGGTCGAGAGACCAGCCTGTGGGATAAACTTTGTGTGGTCTAGAAAGATGATTCTCCATAAGGTAGAAAACAACCAGAACATGACATGCAAGGAGATGTATCCCCAGCACGTGGGCCCAAAAAAGGAGATCCCAAATTCAACTGCAAATAGTCTAAAATGGAAGGAGAAGAGGTAATGGAAGAATCCAGGGATCCGAAGCAAAATTCCATTGAGCATGTAGTCTACTGAAAAGACCTCATATGTGCCCAACCCAAGGAGATAAGTGTCCTCCACAGAAGCCCAGGTTCTCAAAAGCAATAGAACTTCATGAGCAGAAAGAGATGGAGCAGTGAGGGCATGGAGAAATTAAACCTCCATCAAACGGAGTCAAAGTGGAGAAGGTTGGGCCCGACTGAGGTGGGTGTTGAAAAAGACACCAAAGTGTTTAAGATATTGGGTAGGTAACAGGAAAGACTTCTCCAACTTGATAATCCAACCCACTCGAGCTGCTTCTGTCAGAAGCAGATGAGTTTCTTGTGAAGATTCCAGTTCCGAATGAGCTAACAGGAACCAGACATCTAAGTAGTGGTGTAAACTCAACCTCTGAGCATGAAGAAGTCAGGCAATGGTTTTGACAACAAGACAAAAAACATGCAGAGACAAAACAAGTCCGAAGGGCAAGGCATGAAACTGATACACAACCATGTACTAGACAAACCAAAGATAATGTTGTGACTGATGAGAAAGAGGACTATGAAAATAAGCATTTGAGACATTACCTTGGTCATCCACAGTTGTGGAGAAAAAGCCCACTACAGTGTGAGAAAAGACAACATAGTAAAATGTGGAAGATCTAAAAGTGATTGAGGTGGGACAGACTGATCACAGGATGGCAGTCCCTGGTTTTCTAGGGGACAACAAAAAGCATAGAGTAAAAACCTGGGGAAGGTTGGCTTACAGATTCAATAGCTCTTTCTGATACAAGAGCCCACACCACCTCGGACAGACACTGACTAGTAGTGGGATCCCGAGGTAATGGAAAAAGACAAAACCTGGATAACCCATGGATCAGTAACAAATTCCCACCATAGGGAAACTACATCAATCAAACAAGACACACAGACCAGAACCCACAGGATAATCAGCAGTATTACTGGTGAAGATGAAACCTACATCAAGAAACATGACAAATAGTGGAACCCCTAGTGGTAGGAACAGGTAAAAAACATGATATTGTAAGGGCTCAGAAATGAGGTAAACGGCCAGCCAAAGATGAAAGAGTCGAAGGTTGCTCCACAGATTCCACATGTGATTCCAAAGACTCAGGAATATCCCCACAAATGGACTGATGGAGAAAAGGAGCCATCCGTAAGTCCCAAAGATAAATAGATGGCAAATGAACCTGGGACAAAACAGTGTCCCTCCCCAGAATATCCCAACAGCAAAGAAACCATGTGCGAAGGGACAGAGCCGAAGAGGACAATAAAACCAATGTGGAAGTAATGAAGGGAAAAAGAAGGACAAGTACCACAGGAGAGCAGTAAAGGTAAAACAAAGGTGGGAAAACTGTGCGTGGGTTAAACACAGAGGATTTTCCAGGTCAGCCCCCATACAGGCAAAAGTGAATCCAACTGCTGAGAATCAAGAAAAAGTTGGTCAGCCTGATGGTAAACCAAGGCAAAATGCTCCGAGGCCCATGAAGGGTGAGGCATGCTAGCACCCACTATCAATTGAGAAATGTTAGGAAAAGGAGGGAAAACAAAATACTCAGAGGAAAGGGTGTAATGTAATAAAGAAGGAACAGAATAATAAGAAATTGAAGAAATGGATAAAATGGAACACACCTTAGGAATCATATTTAAAAAGGCTGGGTTAGGCCTAGCAGATTCTGCAGGAGAAGCTTGGGAAGGCACAGCATAGTTAGATGGAGGGGAAAAGGCTGTCAAAATCCTCTTCATTGTGAACAGGTCAGCAGAATCACAAGGTAGTTGAAAAATAATGGGAGAAGAAAGGCAACTCATATAACAATCAATCTCCCGATGAATTAGAGTTGAAACTTCCTCATTTGAGGTCTACTGACCTGAAGCCTGTGTAATTGTGCTGGAAGTAGGTAGAACATCTGGCATGGTAACACTAACATCAGAATTCATCATAAATGGTGAAGAATTAAAGGAAAAACAAAATAAAGGTAAGTTATTTAATCAAACTACAGAAATAAACAGTAGTAAAATATTGAAATGATATCTCTACTTCACAGAAATATTAAAGAAAAAATATGTGAAGAGAAGATAATCAAAAAAGTCTACACTAGATTACTGCCTAACAAGAAGTGATAGTTCGGTAGAATTGAATAGAGGGAGTCACATGCATCAGGAAAATGTGTCGTACTCTTATCGGTGGAGGGTTGTTGCATGATTTACATGTGAGATGCATGAACAACATTGATCATGGAGTTCAAGGTTTGTGGCATGTGAAAAAAATGTAGCATATAGAGGGCAGCACTAAACGAAAATTGCTATTCTTGTGAGAGGAGGTAATGTGCTATATTGGAATTTTTTGTTATGATACTACAAACATTCCCAGAACTTGTGACTGAGTCATTACATAGATATTGTTATAAAAGGAAACATTGTACAGTATTGTAAAGTTCTGATGACCTGTTGAGGAGATATTTAAAATACTACTTCGATGAACAATCCAAGCCATCCCTACATAGGCTGTGCTACTGCCTGCCTGATAAGTATTGGATGTATTTCTATATTAAATGGCATGTTTAATTTTGCTTAAGAGGATATACAGCATTTTAAAATCAGACTTCTGAGAGATTTGAGAACTGCACACTGATTCAAATTGATTGAGACAACCTAAAAATTTAACACATTATCTCATGACATTACTGAAGAAAAAACTTAGAATAACTATGAAATCTGTTAGTCTTTTAATTAACATAAGTTATGAACTTAGGATTATATGGAAACTTCAATTATATATTTACCAGTGAAAAACTCAAAATTCATAAAAATCTAATTGCTATATAGCTTATACTAGCCTTGGTATGTTATTTGCAGTCCTATCTTCTTCCTCTTCCCCGTCAGCTAAATCCTGCTGAGCTGTCTGTAAAACCTCTGCCATCAACTCCTGAACTTCTCTTTCTGTAAAGAATTTTCTTAAATATAACAATTTTTAAAAAATTAAATATAAAATTACAATATCATGTAACTTATGCTACGTGTTTATGTGACTATTTTTACTTGTTTTTTTGTTTATTTTGAACATTTAACTGTGAATTGGTTTGTACAGTAATTACACTTAATACTTTTCTGCTTAACTCTCTCGCTATGAGGTCTGTCAAATCAACCAGCCTTGTGACCATTTTGTACTCATTATAGTTTCCATACTATAACTTTTAATACACCTTGTGTATTTTCATAAAATTTAGCAGACTTTTAGTAAACATTGAAAGTCTTTTGTACAAAAATGATCATTTTTTAATGGAGTATTTTTACTAAAAATGTGTGCATAAATATATATATATATAGTGTTTCTATATACTAGTCCGAGTGCAAAGTGATTTCCAGATTAAGATTAAAAATACTTTTATTGAACTCAAACATCTCAAATTTTATTTTCATAATCTTTAATATCTCCTAAAGAAATTTCAACCTTATTTTTTTCAGTTAAACTTTATATCTTATCTGTTATTTTCTATACTCTAACTTTATACAAGGTTGGACAATTTCACTGACCTCATAACCATCAGAAAACAAAAAATCTAAATAACCCTTTTTTCTTTCTAAGATGATTTCAAATTGTAATACGAAATGGCATTTGTTTATTCTAAATAGCTTTAAACTCATAACACTATACATCTATTTATACTTAAATTTTATTGTTTTATTGCCCTTTGAACCCTATCTAACTACTATTTGTGCGATTAAAAGCTGTAAATCCCTTCATAAGCATGCAGTTCACATTACACTATTGCATCACATTGCACATAAGCTACTCATGAGCTGTTCCTGAGCGTACCTTGTGAAAACTTTTATATTATTATTATTATCTATTTGACCTAATCTAACCTTAACTAACATAAAGTTTCCTATTTTTACATTTTATTTACTTTATAATAATAAATAAAGATTAAACACGAAAAAAAAGCACTTACTTCGATCATCCATGACACTTAACCCTATTTTTTTAATACTATTGGTAGTACTGCACCAAAGAACACAGAATAATCATGTATAAAAATAATACAATGTCCCATAACTATCACAACTTTTCTGGCTTTCTAACTATGCGACAAGAGACATTAAAACTTCACCTAAGCTCGTCGATGTATTTCCTGTGGAATCAAGCTTGAATTAAAAGTGAACTTAACAATTCTCTTTACAGAAAACTATGTAATATAATATGTCATTTGATAGATGAAAAACCTTGGCTTTCTATTGGTTATAAATAATAAAGTACAGTATTGCACATCAGAAAGATCTATTGGCAATTTCTGAGAGATGGGATGTAACAGGTGGGTATGTCATGAGGGGTCTTATTGTCTATTTCATAGCTCTGTAACTAAATAAGATTGAAGGCTATGAAAATTATTCTTTGCCTGAGTAATGACGATATTATAATGAGTAATTTACATTAAGTTTCATATTTCTTGGAGAGGTGGTAAATAAACCAGAGAAGAGAGGATGCTTAGAGAACAAATGTCACAATTCTCACACTAGGGGAAAATCTAGATTTTTTTTTAATATTGCCTTATAAAAGTAAGAACTTAAAACTTAAGTACTATTAAAATATGGATTTTTAGCCACATTTTTATGCTATATTTATTGGTATACCATGAAAAGAAAGTAGTTTAATTAGATTTTGAATGTAACTAACTGAAACTGCATAACATGTGCAGAAAAAGATACCCATGGAGAGAAGGATAAATCCCCTTCATATTTCCATAAATTACTTTTACCTATGATAATCCAAAATGTGAATTCTTGTAATGAGACTATAAAAAAAAAGAGAGAGTAAATGGGAGTTCAATTATTTACTTTCATACATACTTGTAATTCTAAATATAAAAAATAAACTCAAAAG